ACTGCGCCCTCGCCCGCATCCGTGGGTCCTCGGTGGAGCGGTGGAAGGCGGCGCCGGCGGCCGGGCTCCGGACGGGGCTGCGGGCTGGGGAAAAGGAGCCGTTAGAGGAGATGCAGGTGCCATGGGGAACCCTTGGGTGATGCTCAAGGCAAGAGGCCAGGCTGAAAATCAGCTGCCATGCACAGACGGGACCCTCCCAGTGCCGATACCATGGAAATTTGCTTTTCCCTCCCACTCTCATTTGCATTTTTATCCCACCCATAGTCATTTTTCCATTAGCAAAGAATAAACTGCCTTAACCCCAGTCTCCCCATGGCAAAGACTCCGTGCAAGAAGCCTGTGCCACCCCACGCCCCACCAATGCTCTCTTCTAGGCTATAAATGGGTTCAGAAGTGCAATTTCTGTTACTTAGGAAGACTCAACACTTCATTTGGCTTTTTAATCTCATAATTCTCCAAAGAAACTTGAAATTTGCCACAAACTTCACGCTACAGAATATTTACGTTGGCCACCACCACGTTTCACGTGAACGTTTCTCCTCCCTAAACTAGCGACAAGTCCCATTTTTCAGCTCAGATGTTTAAATTGAATGACTTCACTACAAAGACCTCCCTTTTCCCCGACACGTTTTCTGTGTTAAGCCCAGCATTTTCTCAGAAAACCTCCTCAATTCCCAAACCTGTGTTTTCCTTTTGGAAAACCACCTGGACCGGCTCTGCAGAGCTGCTCTGCATCTCTCTGAGACACCAGCTGCAACCACAGCACCTACCCTCCTTTTTTTTTTTTTTTGTTAAACCCACTAAAAATAATGATGAAATTCCCCAATTTCAATGTGCCGGCGGTATTTATTCCAATATCATGGAGCTGCCGTTGGCACAAGAAACACGAGGGACCCCTCTGCTCCTGCCAACGACCACCTTTGCCTTTGTGTCCCTATTTGCAAACTCAAAGCGACGCCATCATCTCAGGAAGGAACTGGAAACGTGAAAGATGCCCCTATTTTCCCTATCTACAGGGACTAACCACCACATTTCCAAGCCATGCTCTGTTTTGAAGGCTTCTGGGCAAATGTTAGCTCAAATATCTAGTCCTCCAACGTGGATGATGGCTGCTTTGAAACCTGGGGATGCCCACGGGGTGGGAATATTGCTTATCGATGGCCTCTTCCATGTGCACTTTGAGCTTGGGCGCTGCTGTTGCTGTCTACCCAGGGAGCAGTCGAAGCCCGGCAAATCCCAGGCTCCACCAAATGACCTCTGTTTAAACCTAAGTAAATAATCTAGCGTGAAAACAAACAAATCCCCTTTTATAATGGCTCAAAAATAGGCAGGTTCAACCGCGGAGCAGACTGGATTTGTCTGTAGGCTGCCCTGCCAGAAAACCCCTTGGCCAAGTGACCGCCAACGCCGTTGTCCCTCACACAACGCCGTTGTCCACCTCAGCAGAAACTCCCTTGGCTTCTGGCTCCCACGGACTCCCCAACCTTAAAACCACCCGTGGTGGAGCTTTTGGGGTCTTTCTCAACGCAGTAAACAGTTGGGTGCCCCCAATGGCCCCTTTCCTTCTCCTGAGATCTTCCTCCCGCTGGGCTTGCTCACCAAAGACTCAAGGATGCAACCGGGCGCAGGTCGGACCCCGAGGACTCACTTGTGTTGGAGGAGACGGACTTGCCGATGTCGGCCAAGGACCGGTGGATTGGCTTCTTGGTTTGGTGACGGTGCTTCCTGAGGAGCACATAGCTTATCTTCTCCCGCAGCTCCGGCTTGAGCAGACCCTCCTCGATCTGCTTCTCGACGACATCGTCTGCAAGCACCGAACGAGGGAGGTGCATGGGTTGCCCCACCGCAAACCCTCCCAGAAGGCTTCAGACAACACCACTTATTGAACCAAGTCGATGGCTCTCAACTCCTGCCTTTGCTTAATCCCGTGCAATTTGGGTTTTATTTGCGTGTAGCAAGTAAATGCATTTCACTCTGTTCCCAGCACTTTAGGACGTGGGCAAAAAGCCACCCAAAACCACTGATACCCGCCAGCTCCTACCTATAATTTGGGGCAAAGAGTAGCCATCTAAGTCCAGGAGCACTGTTCCCGTCTGTAGACACGTCCGCAGCTCAAACAGGCTGTGCAAAGACAACGTGGACACGTGGGGCTTGCTCCACCTCTCCCCGCCTTCCTCCACCTTTTCTTCAAACTTTATCCACCTGAAACGACAGCGGCAGCCGTGGGGACGGGCACGGAGCAAGGAGGGTGTATGAGAAGAGAAGAAGAGAATTGCTTTTCCTGTGGCAGTTCCCTTCTGCGGGCGGCTCTGCAAGCCTGAATTAATTCATCCTGCAAAGTTTGTGGTTGTTATTCAGGATGGGAACGGAGAAATCAAGGACCATCGTTAGACAAAGGGCTGCTTGCACAGTTACGGAGTGGGGCAAAACCTCTCGGCTCCACCGCTGAACTCAGCCCTGGGGATTTCACCCTCCTGTGAGGTCTGGGATGTTCTCCCATGGAGCTGACCTCGCCTTAGCCAGGATCTGCACCCGCGTGGACCAGCCGCGCGCGCAGGAAAGCAAAAACCCAGGGTGTGCAAATGTCTTTTTAATTCCTGAGCAATGCTCACACTTCACCCTGGGCGCTTCCTTCCCACGGTGGGAGACGAGAGGGTTTGCAAGCCCTTGGAAATCAGCACTTCCACCTCCCTTCCTTAATTTCACAAACCAAAGACTTCAGAGCAAATTCGGGAACGGTGGCTCATTTCTCCCAACTCCCCTGGAACGGGGCTCGGGCTCCAGGGAGGGCAGGCAGCTCTCAGCAAGACGTCAATTTGGGGAAGAAAGCTGCTTTGCCTTTACAGGAGGGTTTGCAGGCTCCATGGATTAGCCTTCGTGGGGCTTAACCTTACAACTTTTAACTGGTACAACTGGGATTTGGGCTCCTGCCGCCGCAGAGGGCACAGACGGCAAGGAGCTATGAGAAGAAGGGTTTTTGGAAATAGCTGATGGCTCATGAACATGGGGAGAGCCCAGAACTGTATTGGCTGCAGCAGGTTATGCATTAAAATGCTGCTGCAAAGAGAAAATGTTGGACGTTCCTATGAAAAAAGCCCCAAAATATTACCTAGGAATGCCAGGAGCGGTCTGTCCTGGGGACAAAACCCCAACACATCCAAAAATATAAAATCTGGCCCCAGTGCTCACCTATTCCAAAGCTCCCCACCCTGATTTGCTGGCAGAAACCCCTTCTCCAGCCCTTTAAACAACGCTGCTTTTATTGGGAGGAAATTCAAACTTCCCGCCATGGCACCCACTAAGCCCCGTTGGTGCTCGCCCAAAGCCGATTAGGTCGCTTTTCCTTTCTTTTTTTGCCCCATTTTCCTGCCGAAAGTGGGTTAAGGCGCACACGGGGCGGCGTGCGGGAACTCGAGGCACGTTTCCAGCGGCGCCTTTGCCCCGGGGCCGGCATCCCGTGATGCTTTCGCCAAGGCTACAGCAAAACCCCATCTCCCTGCTGCGCCCGGCTTCTTTATTTTCCATTTATTTCCATTTCTTGGGGATTTAGCTGCAGGGAGCACTGCTCCCACCA